CTGCCTACTAGCCTCACCCCTCTCTCCATAAATGGTCAACAGGAACTATTGATCACAACAAAAAATGTTTTCAGCCAATGTCACACACAACTATTGCAAATAATTTCCTGTAAGTCGAAACTCTTTAGATAAAGTTTCAGCTGTATTAAAAATACAGTTTATTAGCATTTATATTTACTATTCAGGAGAATAACATTTCCTTAAAAGAGGTACTGCCAATATTTCTAAAGGAATGAAGCTGAGCTTTGGAAAACTACACAGAATTTGGTAAAAATAAACCAATTTTACCTACATAAAGTCATCATATAAGAATTATCAGTTTGGATTAGACTTTAGCTGAATTCAGATAAATCTGAACTGATCTAAGAAAGGCCATCAGATTGTTCAAGTCCCACATTGAAAACTTCTTCCTTCTTTCACAGGACAACCACTAAGATTCCAAAGATGAGTGATTCCTTTTTATAAATAAGTCTTACTTAATTTGGGTCAGTCTGCAGGATTTTGAAGTTATTGACATACATCCAGCATATTATAAATCAAGCAGTTTGGTCATCCTTAAGCTGTTGAAGTTAGGCCAAACTTTAAAGTGAACTCCTCTGGCCAAAGGAGGGCAATGATTTAAGAGGCATCCTCCAGATCAATTAAATCACATTTTTATTTCTTACAAAATTTACAATTATAACAATACTTTGGATTTGTAATGCACTTTATATTTAAACAAATCCCAAAGTGCTAAATAGTAAAACAGGTAAGTAAAAATACATGGAGAGCATGAGAAATAAAAAGTGAAAAAAAGCTAAAATAATCAAAGACAATTAAAAAAGGGGAAGACGTTGGAAGGCCACGTTGAAAAACATCCACAGTCTGTGGGGATCTCAGGTGGCCAGGGAGAGCGTTTCATAGGCTGGGAGCAGCTGAAAAGAAAGCCCGATCTCCCATTGTACGAAGCTTCGTCCTTGATGGTTTCAGCAGATATGTTGCAGTAGATCGGAGGTTACATGTTGAGGTCTGTGGGGTGAGAAGTTCCTTACGGTATGGTGGGGCATCCCCATGGATGCACTGGTGGGTAAGGAGGGAGACCTTGTACTTAATTCTGGGGACTGGGGGCTTGGGGATGTCTGGCGCCCGGGCTCGGGTGGTTAGTGTGCCATAATTGGCCTACGGGGGTGGACTACCAGGATTGTGGTTGCCTAGCAGCCATGGGTATGAGAGGACCATATGGATGTGGGGTCCTGGAACGGCTGGGGCTGGCTGGGGTCGGGGTGGGCTTTTTACCTGCTCTGGCGTCTGTGGGGGTGGGTGTGCGGTTTGTGGGGGGGGTGTTGTGGGGGAGGCGGCCCGGGGGGGATTGTCCCTCCTTTTCTTTCCTTTTCTGTCTTGGGCCCTGCAGTTTTGTAAATCCTTTATAAACAAGCATGCCCGTCCATACAAACCATGGGAGTTTACTTCCAGGTGTTCACCGATACCGACTAAAACTAAATACTAAGCTGCAACTACAGTTATTGAAAAATATCGTTAGCTGTATGGAGTTCTTAACCGATATGAATGGTTGCCTGGCAAGCCCTCACCTGTTTGAGTTATGCCGATTAGTTAAAGTTCAGGCATGATGCGGTTGTCCAGTAAGAGACAGATACAGATAAAGTTGGATGATTGATTTTTATGTAAAAGAAGTTTCTAAAGTACAGCTATGTGGCAACAAGAAATAATAAACATACCTGATTACCAGTATTCACAATAACCACAAGCTTACTCACATTCAGCACCAACATACAAGTCTTTCTCCAAATATTAGCATATTGTGATAAACTTCATTATTTTCCATAATATAGAGATAAAACCTGAACATTCTTATATTTTAGATTCTTTGCACACTAACTGAAACATTTCAGGTCTTTCATTGTCTTAATACGGATGAGTTTGGCATACAGCTCATGAAAACCCAAGATTCCATTCTCACAAAATTAGCATATCATTAAAAGGTCTCTAAACGAGCTATGCACCTAATCATCTGAATCAACAAATTAACTCTGAACACCTGTGAAAGATTTCTGAGGCCTTTAAAACTCCCAGCCTGGTTCATCACTCAAAACCCAAATGATGGGTAAGACTGCCAGACTGCTGTTCAGAAGGCCATCATTGATAACCTCAAGCAAGAGGGTATGATACAGAAAGATATTTCTGAACCAGTAGGCTGTTCCCAGAGTGCTGTATCAAGGCACCTCAGTGGGAAGTCTGTGGGAATGAAAAAGGTGTGACAGAAAACTCTGGACAACGAGAAGAGGTGACCAGACCCTGAGGAAGATTGTGGAGAAGGGCCAATTCCGGACCTTGGGGGACCTGCGGAAGCAGTGGACTCAGTCTGGAGTAGAAACATCCAGAGCCACCGTGCGCAGGTGTGTGCAGGAAATGACAGGCTACAGGTGCCGGATTCCCCAGGTCAAGCCACTTTTCAACCAGAAACAGCGGCAGAGGCGCCTGACCTGGGCTACAAAGGAGCAGCAATGGACTGTTGCTCAGTTTTTCATGTCCTTTGGAAATCAAAGTGCCAGATTCTGGAGGAAGACTGGGGAGAAGGAAATGCCAAAATGGCAGAAGTCCAGTGTTAAGTACCCACAGTCAGTGATGGTCTGGGGTGCTATATCAGCTGCTGGTGTTGGTCCACTGTGTTTTATCAAAGGGTAGGATCAATGCACCTATCAGGAGATTTTGGAGCACTTCATGCTTCCATCTGCTGAAAAGCTTTATGGAGATGATTTCATTTTTCAGCACCAGCCGACACCTGCTCACAGTGCCAAAACCACTGGTAAATGGTTTACTGACCATGATATCACTTTGCTCAATTGGCCTGCCAAGTCTCCTGACCTGAATCCCGCAGAGAATCTGTGGGATATTGTGAAGAGAAAGTTGAGAGACCCAAGACCCAACACTGTGGATGAGCTAAAGGCTGCTATCAAAGCATCCTTGGCCTCCATAACACCTCAGCAGTGCCACAGGCTGACTGCCTCCATGCCACGCCGCATTGAAGCAGTCATTTCTGCTAAAGGATTCCCAACCAGGTATTGACTGCATAACTGTACATAATTATTTGAAGGTTTACTTTTTTTTTGTATTAAGAATACTTTTTTTATTGGTCTGATGAAATATGCTTATTTTGTGAGATAGGAATTGTGGGTTTTCATGAGCTGTAAGTCAAAATCATCCGTATTAAGACAATAAAAGACCTGAAATATTTCAGTTAGTGTGCAATGAATCTAAGATATGAATTTTCAAGTTTTATCTTTACATTATGGAAAATAATGTACTTGATCACAATATGCAATATTTTTAGAAGGACCTGTAGGCTTTGTAAGCATCAGTTTTTAATCCCAAATCCAGCTGAAGTTCCCTGCTTATTTAATAATTATCTAATAAGCAGTGCTTCTATCATATCTTTGTTTCGAGTCACGAGATCCTGCAAATAAAGTCTTCTTCATGGAAGTGTCACTTTTTGTTGGGCCTAAAGTAGATGTTGGTCGTTTGCTGACTCCAGAAGAGTCTTCTGGAGACTCCTACTAATATTACTGCTACTGAAACAACCATGACTTCCTCTATCAAAAATGTCGGGGAGCTCATGGAGCGTCAATAGACGTCATATATATTACTTTATATTAGTGAACGTGGATTCCAAGGGTAGGACTGTGTGGGAATTTCAGACCACAAAGCATATTCAAGGCAATGAAGTGATATGTGGATGGGCTTGTTGGTTTTGGTTTTTGGCTTCATCACTGATTAACATTTCAAAACTGGACTTGCATTTGTATTCTTTCACAACTCCTGCTCCTTGTTCCTTTTTAAATATGCGTTATTTAGGTCAACGATAATAATCTCGAGGCCAATGGTCTTAATGAGGGAGACTCAAAAGCAACTATTTAAAGTACTGATTGAGTAATTAAACTGAAGGGAGGGGGAGCAGATTGATGTAAGTAGTAATGTATTTTATATTGCTCTATAAATATGTTACTGTTTTGTACAACCCAACAACACATCTGAGAGAAAGTGAGCCTCTCAGCAGACAACAGGAAGGCTCAGAGTTGTTATTTTTGCACTATTCTCTACTGGGGCTACATGGAAGCACAGTTTGTAGTTTCTTGGTTTTGAACCACAGCTTGGGGTCTTTCTGCATAGAGTTTGGATGTTCTCGCTGTTCCTTTTGTAGGTTCTCTCCAGGTACCCCATGTGGTCTTTCTTAAAATACTTGACAATTAAGAAGCATTTGTGTTTAAAGTAGAAGCATAAACATATATTTATTACATATAAAAAATAATGCTCCATTCATTTACAGTACTCTACAGATTTGTAAAACATGTCATGTTTTTGGTTTTTCCAAAAAATTAAACGCAAAAAGTAAATCTGGCACATTAAGACAAGTAGCAAATGAAAACAATTGTTTAAACCAACATTATGACTTCATATGACATTAGTTTAAGTACATATCTATCTATATATAGAGAGCTTAAAATGAAGAAGCCATCCATCCTGTCCAGAAGAACAAGGGATAGATAGATAGACAGACAGACAGACAGACAGATGATAGATAGATAGATAGATAGATGATAGATAGATAGATAGATAGATAGATAGATAGATAGATAGATAGATAGATAGATAGATAGATAGATAGATAGATAGATAGATAGATAGATAGATAGATAGATAGATAGATAGATAGATAGATAGATAGATTATACTGTATATAAAAAATCAATAAGTTGTGGTTATTTTTTTCTAAATAAACTTCAAACATATACAGTTAATTATGAGAACTCATGTTTTTTTGTTTTTTTTTTATACATTTCGTATGATGCTACTATTAAACATAAAAAAAATCATACCCTTTATTTGTGCTGCTCTCTTGGTACTTTGTACACACTCTTTAAAAAAATTGTAATTTAGTGCAAATATAGACCTTCAGTTAATGTCTTTATGAAGTAAAGTAAAACTTAGCAAACAGAAGCTATTTCTATAGTTTAGTAAGATAAGGACGGCAGTCAAAGGGCAGTCTATTGTTCTTCTTCTCCCATCCTCCTCAGCATCTGTAGCTACCTGCCAGTATCCCTCCTCCAATGACAAGCAGAGCTCCAGACACCCAGCCAATGTAGATGGAAGCCCCTAATTCCCCCCTCCTCTCCTCTGTGGGCAGGGGGTTGTTAAATCCTGTGATAATGGTGTGAGCCGACCAGCTGACAGGAATGATGCATAGGACCCCTGCGATGATGAAAACCACACCTCCACCTATGCCGATGTTGGATTTAGTCGGCCTGTCGTAGCGACAGAAGTTGGTGCACCGGACCCCAACCACGCTGAGCCCAATGGCCACCACACTGACGCCGAGGGAGACGCAGATGAGAGCCCGAGAGCCCTGCAGGTCCTGAGGCAAGGCGAGAATGGAGTCATATGCCTTGCACTGCAGGTGACCTGTGCTCTGGATCACGCAGTTCATCCATAGACCTTCCCAGAACACCTGAGCGGTGACGATGTTTGCTCCAACAAATGGCGTCACTTTCCACATGGGGAGAGCACAGATGAGAATGGTTCCCATGAAGCCGATAATCGCCAGGCAAAAACCGACGAGCTGAGTCCTCATTGTGTCAAAGGTTAAAAAAACTGCAATAAAATTAATTCTGTGTTGACCCAAATATCATTTTTACAGCAGGTTTTCACACGGCTACGAACACTGCCGGTTGTTTTTCTGTCTGATTTTTTTTTTGTGCTGCAGGAATGAAAGCAGCAGCTGGGAGGAGACTTGTTAGTTTGTAGATCGAGTTTCCTGCTTGTCCTGATTCTTGCTCAACCTGAATAGCTGTGGAAAGAAAGTCCCTCACCAAAGAGATATGAAAAAAGGGGCTGAGAGGTCCCAAAAAGAAAAGGTTATATTCGTCAGTGGTGGAAAAAGTACTCACAAACAGTACTTATTACAAATAAAGAAACAAATAAGTACTCTAGTAAAAGTATCACACTGACCTCTGAACTTAAGTAAAAGCAACAAAGTACTTGCTTTTCTCTTTGATTTTTTTCGACTCACTTTGACTAACAGGCACCGAACTTTTCAACTGTAAATTTTAACTCCAGTTTAATCATGAACTCCACAGTTTAACAATATTGTAAAGAGAGCTTTGTAATTCAGAGCTGTCAAACTTTTGATGAAGTCCAGTGATGAAGTCCAGTGTCCTGCAACTTCTCTATTCTTTTCTGCTTCAACACTCCAGATCTTTATTAAGGTCAAATGATTTGAGAACTTCACTCTGAGAACTTCTTGCATCATTCAGAATTATAAAAGTTGCAAGAAACCAGACCTCAAGGACGGTATTCCCCTTTTCTGGTTCCAGGTTCCTTCCTTTGTATTGTTGGAGAGCAGTTCTCTTCTTTCTCCTAAATATATTTTAGTTAGACTTTATACAAATTGGACAGGACTCATTCAGAATATAATTAAGCATTCACATATGCAATACCACCACCCCCCCACCACCCCACCAAAAAGAAATAAAAAAATAACAACAACATAAAGGCCTGGGCCCCATTAAAGCAGTGGTCTTAAAAAAATAACTTGTGAAAGGCTGAAGTGGGTACGGTCTTTTGCCCCAACTGTGTATTTGCATACCTAATTTGCATAATTCAAACAATTTAATTTATTTTTTTGTTTTCTTCACACAGCTGTTACAGATCTTATCTGACCAGAGCAAAAACCTGCAGCCACAGTGGCCCCAGTTGCCCCTTTGGGGGAACTGTAATGTTACCATCATAAATTTATTTTCTTTCATTCCAATATATATTTAATTTGAAGTGTCTGTAAAGTAAAATGGCTTCTAGTCTCTCAACAAACTAAAGAAATATAACAGTTCCTGTTATTTAAACTTTAACACAATAAACTTACAAAATTTCTTAATATTTTGTCCAAATCTTTAAATAATAAAAAACATTGCATAAAAAGACTTAGACTTAAACAGATTTATTTTGTCATTTTTTTTGTACAAGAATGTAAGTGAAACAGTAAAAAGTACATAAAACCAGTAATATAAATATGTGACTGTATATTTACAGTTTTTTTATATTTGTATTCAGCTATTTTATTTTGAGAACATTTTAAACTAGAATTCTACTAAGTGCAATTCACTGACAGATTTGTTTTTCTTTGCCAAGAATATCTAACTCAAAACATGATGAATATGATATTTTTTAGCTAGATGAATGGATGTCTGCTTAGTCTGACTTTTTTTTCCCTGGGTATAGTGATCAAAAAAGCTGAACAGGGCTATTATCTTAGCCTTATGAGACCATCCTGATCTCGCGAGCTTTCAAGGTTTCACTCGCAGATCAGTCTGGAGACTCTCCATTGAAGAAAATTTGGAGCTGTTCATCAAACGAACGTCCAATCAGCTTTGGCTTTGAAGCGGGTTGAGGTGTGATGCAACGAGAAGCGCGACAGTTCAGTCTAAAGAACATGGCGGCTTCAGCCGATGAAACTAGCGTTAGCGTGGCTATCGAGCAAGTTTTATCGGAATTACAGAGTATTTCTTCACTGAAAGAAGAGCAAAACACTGCTCTGGAGGCTTTTCTCTGAGGAAAAGATGTTTTTGCTCTTCTCCCGACTGGTTTCAGCAAGAGTAGCCTGGCCGTTAGTACATCATATGCTCCGTTCATCTGATTAGTTTATTTGGCCCCTCTATCACCAACATAGGCCAATCAGCTAACCAGTATTTTCGCCCCTTCCCAAAATTACTTCAACGAAAGGTTTCCAGATGGATATGCGGAGCAAATCCATCTGGCGGAGTCAGGTTACTATTTTCTAGCATCACAACATCAATTCTTGGTGCTAATTGCCAAAAGGGACGCGTTAAAAAAATGGGAGTTGAATAAATTATGATGTGTTGATTAAATGCATATTCAGGATTATATACAATATTTAGGTCTTGTTTTCTTATCTAGGGCAGTATATGTCGCAACTTTGCACATATGTGATTTATTCGTAATAATTTAAACTATAAGTTCAGGCAGGTGTTACTGGAGGAAAAATGCTAGATTCATGTATCTTTTTATTTCAAATAAGCCACTAAATTCATCTGGACTGTTGCAACCGTTTAAGTTGTCACCAACATTGATAAGCATTGAAGCAAACACCCATGAAAAACCCAATTTAGTGACTTACCTCAATGGTTTTCTATTTAGATTTAAGGGTGAGTTTTTGAAAGCTAGAAGCTCGTCCTTTCGGAGGAGACAAAGGTGGCACCAGAATCTCCAGGATAATTGTTTTTTAGCCAATTAAAGTGAACAATTCTTTCTAATAAGGCAAAGGGTGCGCAATTCTGTTGGCGGGCTCTCTGTGCTGGAATCCATTTTAGATGCGTGTTGGTCTGTAATGAGGCTCGGTAATAACCTCGCTCTTCTTGGAGGAAGCAGGTCCAACGTTATCTGCTCGCTTTGCAGTTGTTCAGTGGACCAATCACCATCTAGCATTTGATTACTTCCCTACTCTCAAACAAAACTAAACAAATAAAGGAAAAACACCATGTGACTTTCCGAAAAAGGTTAAAAAACAATCCACTGGACTTTGTTTCCAACTTTGAAGACGTTTCGCTTCCCGTCCAGGAAGCTTTGTCAATTAAATTCCTGGATGGGAAGCGAAACGTCTTCAAACTTGGAAACAAAGTCCAGTGGATTGTTTTTTAACCTTTTTTGAAATGATTATGACCTGGATGACTGAGAATTCTCACCAGCCTATAATGAAAAGAATCAGAATTTGTAATGGAGTTGAAACTATACGTACTTGTAGTTGTAAATTGTAGTTGAAAAGTAGAAAGTATCCATGGTTAAATCTACTTAAGCACAGATGCATAAAAATGTACTTAGGTAAAATAGTACTTCCACTTCATTACATCGCACCATATATATATAGATATTCATAAACTCTAAAGGGACTGAGAGGGAGATCTTATGAACCATGGCTCAACAATAGAGCGCTTGGAAATCACTTTGTAGTTAGATGTTAAAATAAAAAATAAAAATTTAAATAAAAGCATAAAAAAGGTTTTCAATATTTGCTCCTCTGAATAGGTAGGTTTTTATTTTATTTTTAAAAACCAGTAAAATGTTTGGCTTTCAAATTTGGAGCTTTTTACAGGATAGAGTCCTGAAAACTAAAGGCTAAAACTTCAGTTCTGAAGCAGCCTGTGATTTAGGAGCAAAGATTTTCAGTAAGCTCTATATGAGAAAATTGCACATTCAATCCTTTTACAGGAAGCTGGTGTAAGGACCCCAGCATTGAAGTAGTTATATTTACTGAAGAAATTCATTCAAATTTTGCTAAAATAAAGTATTTTTTTAAATCCATAGTATTTATATGATTCACTTCCCTCTTCAACTTTAAGAGTTCATCTGGAGGGTTTTGAAAGGTTCGGTCCAAAAACATTTACCGGTAAGACACTGATATTGGACAAGAAAGCCTGGCTGGGAGACTTGTCTAATTTGTTCCAAAGGTTTTTCTTAGATTGAGGCCAGTAAAATGCCTCACCACTCACTAACCTGTCATTATGGACCTTACTTTTTGCACATTTCTGTTGGAACATGAATGAATCATCCCAAATTTGAACTAAGTATCTGCATATGTAAAGTTGTAAAGGAAATATTTGCCATAACATGTCTTGACCAAATATTTTATGGGTTGTGATACAAGGTCTTTTACCTCAAAGTTACTCTTGAAAAACTGCTGGTTTCAATTAAATAATCTGAGTACAATTCTAATACCAGCTGTTGGTCTTTGTTTACTTCACTAACAGTTTTTTGAAAATTCAAAATATATTGAGGGCCTTCTGTTAAAAGTTCAACATCCGACTAATTTGCTTACTCTTTTAAACCAGACTGATGCTAAGGAATACAAGTGTATGACCAACAATGTCTGCATTTAGACTTCTCATTCAAGTCTTTTGAATATAAACAAATTACTGTGATTTGAGTGTTTCCAAAATGTGTGAACATACTCTGCAAAGAGATTGAGGGGTTTAAAAATCCAGACATTGTACAAAAAAAAAAATGCATTTTTAATGCAAACACAGGGAGCCAGCACAAATTGTTTTAAATGATTTTACTTTCTAGCACTTATTGGTTTTGATGCAGCTACATTTAGTAACTGTACTGGAATTTTAAGATACATAAACCAAAACCCTTACAGCAATTAAAAATTCTCAATTTGAAGTGTTCATTTCCTCAAGTTCTCTTTTTTCCCCCCCTTTGCATCAGTTGCCTGCAGGTTTCCACTTAAGCTGAGCCATATTGTGTGATCCAGTTTTCAAAGCATTTTTCCTAAAGTACATGGGGTGAGGATAATTCTTCACACCAGTTACATACTTTTAAAGCTTTTTGAAATTAACAGTGCCTGCTGCCTTTGACTTTTTTGGCTAAAGAACAGTAACAAGAGGTTACTTTAGAAATCTTGTAGATGCAAGCCAGGCATCCTAGTTCAGCCTGAACATTTGTTTTTTTTTTGCTCAGAAAGGCCAACAGTGTTATGGTTGGCTATTCACAGCAGACCCTAGAGCAGAACTCTGATTGCAGCATAGAACAAAAACACCCCAAAGTGACATGGTTGTCAGAGAGCTAGCCAAGGACATGTCAAAAGTAACCTGCAAGATCTCAAACTGCTCAAGACTCAAAAGGCTTTTGGATGAGGTTGGATCTACAGCAACTTTTTTTTGCTGAAAAGACTTACAAGTTAAAAATGAAACCCAA